TTGTATTTTCTTTCCTCTCACTGTCCAATTACGCCAACCACTAGGCAGCCGCTGTCATGCCATTCCCACCAGTATCGCTGTCACAGAAGCTAAGTGTAGGAGCGGACCGTACGAGGAGGGGATGGAGCACGGCAAGGCGGGAAAAGGAGTCTAGTGTCAGAATATGGAGGTTCTAGAAGGCTGAGGTAAAGACCATTCTTAATTAGGCAGGCTTCCTCAGAGGGAGCATCCCAGGAGAATCAGGAGGAAGCTGCATGGTCCTCTGTGAACCAACCTCAGGAATCTGACTTAAAGAGTAACTTCTTTCTGTAAATAAATTTTATTGGAACAGAGCCACATCCATTTCTTTGCATCTTGTCTATGGCTGTTTTTGCATCAACAGCAGAGTGGAACGACTGCAACAGAAAATGTATAGTCGGCAAAGCCAAAGATGTTTACTATCCAGCCACTTAGTGGAAAAAGTTTGCTAACTCCTTCTCTAAAACCTGAAAGAAAGAGTACTAAATGGGAGCTTTCAAACTGACCAGTCATGGCCTTTGTCATAGAACTGAATCTAGTAACATGTAATGTAAACCTATACTATTTCTAGATCGGTATCTACAAAAAGATCAAATTTCTCAGTGAGGTTAGAGGGAAATTCCTAACTCATTTCCTCTCTCGAGAGTTCTTCCCTAAGACAAGACAAAATATATGAACTGCACCCAGATTTAAACATTAATTTTGGGATGTTTGCCAGACCAGATGGTTAGAAAAGCTAAATACCATTGATTTATTTCTTACCCTTTATGAAGCAACATTAGAGACAATGGACCTTTTCAGAACAAATGAGAATAAACAACAGAATGCAGATCAGAGGAGAATTAAGAACAAATGCGACTGGATTTTATTATGCTATAATTAATTTTGTATATAGAAAAGCACTAATTATTAGCAAATTGTAAACTCTACCAACCCAAATTTTCCTCATAGCAGCGGGGCAAGGATGGACTTTTCTGTTTCATGAATGTCACTTTTCCTTGTGTGATA